GTAAGGGGATTTATTCTTGACTTGATCAAGATTTAATTTTTGGGTCAAATTTCTGAGTTATGACATGAATAACTTGTTTTTATTGAGATAAAAAAAAAAAAAAAAAACCCAACTTTTAATTTGCTTATCCAAGTTGACTTGAATATCACTTAATCTCAAAACTAACCAAAAGAAATTTTGAAGGGTCTTCATTTGCAGTTCCTCTTCCATTAATATTAATTCAGAGTTTCGGTCAAGTTAGAAGATGTTGGTCTTAATTAGTGTGTTTTCTTCTTTGTGTTTGCACTCTGCAGATTTTGAGTGGAGGGATACCTAATCAAAATGGATATTTCACATGTTCTGTTTCACAAAGGGCTTTCTTGTGAGGACATGGAAATTGAGAACGCCTATGAAGAGTTCTAGCTAGCTGTTTTTCTTTCTGTGGAAAAAGAAAACAAGGTTGACTTTCTTTGCTTAAGATGAAAATTTCACTAATCCATGCAAAATTAGAAGAAAATTCTGTCATCCAAATCTAAAAATGGTAGAAGATATACAAAGACTAATGAAGAATCACATAAGTTTACCAATAATCTTCTACTAATCTTATCATTTCATGATTGAGAAACCAAATTATGGATTTAAGGAAGCCTATAAACTTAACAAGGAATTAAAGTACAAGGTTTTTTTTTTTCTTTCCTTTTATTCCATTATCCAATTTGCAAGCAAATTGCATGTTTATTAGAGGGCAAAAATAATGAAGTCAAGCTTCAAATGAAGAAGTTAGTTCTTGTGGTTTATGTCAAAAAATGATTCTAAGAAAACAAAAAATAAATCCCATTTCAGGAACATCTTCATCTCCTAAAATTAGCCCTCCCCTGCACTGCTCTGCCATCATGGTTCAACCTCACCTAGAAATATCGCAGTTTGTGGAGTTCCCCAGTTGTTCCATCTCCCAGCTTTGCGTAGGAGCAATTTTTTTATGGCGTGGAAGATACTCCTAATAAAAAAGAAATACAGATATTGTCATCAAAATTTGAACTCCGGGAATGTTAATTGAGACAAGTATTCTGAATTCTGTACTTTTAATGTTATTAACAATGGGGTACAAAAACAGGGGAAGTGAAACAAATTATGCTTCAGATGATGATATATATACCTCCATTTTCTTCACCAGCTCCTTTGCAGTGGGGGCAGACACAATGATATGCCTTTCATTTGGAGAAATGAAACCTTCTTCCACTGCTTTGTCAATGAAGGACAACAAGGGATTATAGAAACCATTCACGTTCAGCAATCCCACCTATACATTAGACATCAAGGAAAGGAAACGACTTTAATCATCAGACATCTTTCAAGATTAAAAAGGAGGTGGGGGTGGTGGTTACTGGTTTATCATGGATTCCCAGTTGAGCCCAAGTAATCACTTCAAGAAGTTCTTCCAAAGTGCCATAGCCACCTTCAACAAGAGCACAACACAAAGTTACCATAAATGATCAATTTGGCAGAGAATTTTGTGAAACAACACGCATGGCTATGGAAGGTTGGAAGGTTGGGTTAATACTGGCCCATCTTACTCTATATCTGCTTTCTAGTCTGTATCAAACAAGCCCAAAAAAAATGAATGATTGGGTTGGTCCTTTGGGAGTGGTTATTGCATACAACATGGTTACATGAGCCCTACAAACATAAATATCATTTTCATTTTAACAGCTTTAAGCCTTTTTTCTAAAATCCAAAACAGGGTTGTCCGGATGTGGTCCAAAATGGCAACAAATGAGGTTGAAGGGCAGAGGCAGGGTAACCTGTTGAGAATCTGCAGTGTCATAGTTGACAAAGAACAATCTGATAGAAAAGAGTTAACAGCTATTTTTTCTTTCTTTGGTCAACTGATTTGACTTTACAACGCTCTCCAGCTAATTCTCAAAGAATTATAAGATGCAATTTTTCATCAAACAGAGTAGGATAAACTATTAAACCCTAATTAATCTGTTCTAAGCAAAATTACTTAAACATAATAATTGTGGTGATAGTGTGACTACATGCAATGATAAGTGTAAGAATATTGAAGGTCTTTGTAGGAACCTGGCAGGGCGACAAAGGCATCAGATTGTCTAGCCATCTCAGCCTTCCTTTGGTGCATATCTGCTACTTCCTTCACTTCCCCTACTGGCTCTCCAGTTATCTGCAAATAATGCCGTACCCAACCCCAAGTCAATACAAGACAATTCCCACATAACTCCAACCTTTGGGTGTGGGCAGAAAAAGCAATAGTGAGTGGAGCATAGTGAGGTGGGCTGATCAGAACAAAAAAATTCATAGTACCAGACAATTCCTCGGCAATCATAAAGAAAAGTAGAGCGAGAAGAAAGAGAAGGAAAAACACAGGAAAATACACGTGCGCCATAGAAGCTTGATATTTTATGAAGAATCTTGACGGTCGGCATTTAGGAGAAGTAGAACCCCATTAGAAAGGGACAAAGATGGTGATTGGTGAAGAGCCCATATGCCCCTCCTAGGTGTGATTTATAGGAAACAAATTTTATCAACAGCACATGTGAAAAACCAGAACAAATTTCAGAACCAGTGAAAAAGGTCTTGCTTAGAGCTTGCATAACCACAAAAGTGACATGTGGAATCTTGTTTTCAAAAGATAACAAAAGTAAGGTTGAAATTAATGTTGAAGTTGCTACCACAAGCCCCAAAACAAACTTCCACCCATTAAATAGAAAAAGAAAACAAAGAAAAGATGTAGATAATGCTTTGCTTTCCCCACAGATTGTATTTTTAAAAGTTCACAATTATAAAATATAATATTGGGGTAGAATGGAAGTGATACCTCTCTGGGCCTAAGTGCCTTGGGAATCACTCTGCAGACAGGATCATGATAAAATGAGTTAAAATGGAAGAAATGCCCAAGCAAAACCATCATCACAACTAAAAATTTTGTTTTCAAGTGATACGTCTGTTACCTGTTTGATTAAGTGTTCAAGGAAAAACAAGAATGAGAGAAAGAAAGGAAGAGACTTGAGAGGAATATGCTCACCCAAGGACATGGCGGCCACCGTCATAAACAGCTTGAGAAACCGAGCCCATCAAGCCAACACTGCCGCCGCCATAAACCAGATCGATATTTCTCGAAACCTTGATATATTCAGAAAAAAAAGGGGAAAAAACAAAACAATTTTAGCCCCGGAATCATTGAACTCAACTTAGAAAACCCATTTTACAGAATCTAAAACATACACAAACCCAATTTGATTTCTTTGTTTGAAAAGTTTGGACCTTGGAAACAAGTTTAGTGAAAAACAGAGGATGTAAACAAAAGAAAAGGAAAAAGCAAATCTTTGTTCGAAAAATCACGATCTACAGGAGGAAAAAAAGGCCCCATGAGGAACAAGATTAAGAATTTAGTCAAAAACAGAGCAAAAACAAAGAGACATTCATCACCAATTCTTTGCCAAGCTCAATCGCAGCATCTCTGTAGCTGTTTTTATTCCCAGAACTACTCCCACAAAACACACAAATCCTCTTGAATTTCGGTTGTTTCATCTCCTTCTCCATCTCGCTTAAGCAAAAGGAAAAAATGATGCCCTGTTTCAATGATACCCAGATAACGTAAGAAATTGAGGCTGGTGACTAGATGGCTGTGTGTGTGGGATTTATAACGGTAGCACAGGTAGGGAGCGTACGCATGCGTAAAATCCCACGCTCCGGTCCAGCAGTCCACGACCAAATAAGGTGTGACTGGCTTACGCTACCAACCAATCAGGTTGCTCATGCATTTATGTCCAGTCCAGCTATTCCAATGGTGATTGTTGTTCGTTGTTTTTTTTTTTTTTTTTTTGGTAAATGGTAGTTGCGTTGTTACAAAAATGGAAATATGGTAGGAATGATCAGGGTAAAACCCCACAGATTGCCCTTTAATTTTTTGAGTGTGTGGACTTTATCCCTCATATTACGATGTGTGATTTTATATCCTCATAATATTTGAGTTTATGATAATGAGACTATTTAAAGTTGAGGGATCACGTGCAACATGTGCACCATTAAATTTCATCATATATGTACAAGTCAACAACATGTGAGTCTTTTTTTACACGTTGGCAGTCTAGTTTGAATTGCCCATTATTTAAGATTAATTGAATATTTAACAAATAAAGTAAATAAGTTAAATTACACATTTATCCTCTCATCATCATTCCTTCCATTCAATCTCTTCCTTCCCAAGATCTCCATCTCCGACAAACTCAAGCCCATGTTCTTGTTTCTCTAGACACACTTATGCCCTTTTTCCCATTCAAACTCATAATTTCATAGCATATTTCAATCATCCATATAAACAAGATTTTGCACCATTTCATAACATTAAATTTCCATTCCACAACTAGAATATTTGAAAAAAAATTCCATCAGGAAAATACATTTATAGACAATCGACTATTGCTAAAAAAAAAAAAAATCTATAAATCTAGGTTCTAGAAACTTTAGAATTTGGGTTTCTTAAACCTCGATTTGGGTGGATCCAGATTTGGGCCTCATGGAACCTAACAATTTGGGTTCGATGGAACCTAGATCTGGGTTCCATCAAACCCAAGACCTCTGTTCACAGGGAGAGCAAGAAGCAGGAAGAGAGAGAAAGGAAGGAGGGGGAAGAGAGGGAGAGGGAGGAGAAAGATGCACTTGAATCCTTACTAAAGATGTGAAGGTGATGGGCTATAGGAGGAAGAAGAAAAAGAGGGGGAAGGAGGCGAGGAAGATATGCTTTGGAAAAGGAAGGAAGAAAGGAACCAAAGATAGGAAGAAGATGAATAGGGAAAAAGGGGAAAGAACAAACGAAAAAAATGAGTGGACGATAATAAGTCTTATTGATAGTAAAAATTAAGGTTTGTTTATATGGCTAATCATCATGTGCCATGTTATTAATAATTTTTTATGTTGATTTTAAAATGGGATCCGCATGGTTTGTGAGTTGCCCACTTGTAAAACCAATGTCCAGGTGGCACTGAGGTGTAATTAGGAAACGAAGGGTAACGGGAATTAACGGTGCACGTGCTGCACGTGATCCCTCAACATTGAATATTGCCTCATTATCATAAACTCAAATATCAAGAGGGCATAAAATCACATATTGTAATGTAAGGGGTACAGTCCCACACACTCGAAAAGTTGAAGGGCAATTTATGGGGTTTTGCCGAATAACCAGAATTAGATTTCATTTTGAGAATGCTTTTTAATTCTATAATTTTTAATTATTATATTTTATTATTATTTTAAAAATATATAAAATGTTAGTGAAAATGTTAAAATTTTTATTTGTATCTTATATATTATTTTTTTACCTATCAATATTCTCAAGAATTTTTACTCTAATCAATACTTTTTATAATTTAAAATTTTTAAAAAAACTCAAAAATTATTAGTCAAATTCTTTATTTGTGCTATGATTTGTTAGTAATTTTGAATCTTTTTTTATAGGTTTTAAATTATAAATAGTGTTAGCCAAGAATTAAAATTATGAAAAGTGTTGACTACAAAAGTAACGTACAGTCTAAGTAAGGGGTTTAATTTAATTAAATACAAAAAATGTTTGTTAAGGTAAATTATACATTAAAAATATGATTCATCATATGAATTTATTAAAATATTCTTAATAAAACTACTTCTTATATTATTTTCTTAAAGGTATTTTAGTGAATTTATAAATTATATTTCTCATGTATAATTCAAATTATATTACATGAATCTCATTAAAATAAATATTAAATATAATTTATATATTTTTAAAAAAATTGAAAAATTAAAAAACTTACTACTATAAATTACAGACCAACATTCTTAAACTGGGTCTTACACTCTAATTTCCTTCTATATTAGCAAATAATAGTGAAGGAATACCCATTCCTTATACCTCACTAATCTCTTTGTTTAAGATTTTAGCCCAATGCCTTAACTTATTTTGAAAAACAAAAAAAAGTTACCTTTGATTTTCTTTCAACAAAAGGTGCTCTTCAACCAAACTTGCATTAAGGGTGCGTTTGGTTCACCTTTCCTAAGAAAAAATTTCCTGGGATGCCAAGCGAACAAGACTTAGGCTTGGCTTGGGATTTTCATTTTTCAGGATCAAGGTTTTGTTGTTGGTGATATTGCCAAATAACCAACTAAACATCTCGAAAAGTTCTTCCCAATCAGATATACAGGAAGAAATCTTTCCTAAAATATGAACTGATTTTATTGAAAAATATCAGGTTATATCAAATTAAATGCAATATAATCAATTTTCGCTGTTGATAGCCGACCACAAATTCATAGTACTTTTTAGGCATATCTTTTAATGGTAAGACCCACAAAGTCAACTTAAAAGTTGACTTATCTTCTCTGGATATTTTTTCTTAGAAAGGGCGAACCAAACAGATCCTAAAGGTTTTTTTTTTTTTTTTTTAAACCTAGGGAAATTAGAAAAAAGAGATTGAAAGGGGGTGGGATTCAAAACTCTATACCTTAAATAAGATGCCCTTAATAACTTATAACTTAATTGTTTTTGGTTTCCCGTCCGGTATCCAGGGCTTCGCCCCAACTATTCCGGACTCGACCAGCTGTGGCGCACCAGAATAGTGGGTGGGTCTCCCAACGAAAGCTACTACGTACACAAGGTTTCGAACTCAAGACCTTGTTTAAGCTAGAACAAACCGCTTACCACTTGATCCAACCCCTCATTGATAATAACTTATAACTTAATAAGTGGCCACTCGAACCACTTAAAACTTCTCAAAAGCATGTTTTTGCTTGGTTGAAGGAAAACGCTAACTTCCTCTTTTATTTGAATTTTTTAGAATCATTTACTTTCACACCTTAATATTACAATAAAAAAAATAAAATAGATATTTTTAGTGTTTATTTTTCTTAGTATAATTTTCAATAAATAATATTTTCTTTCCATATTTTTAAAAGGAAAATTTTTTTCTCCTAACTTTCCTTAAATAAGACTTATTTAAAAATAACTTTTTACCAATTTCTTCAATATTAAATTCTTACTAAACATAAAAAAAATTTACAATTTCAACAAAATTTCATTACAAATTTACTAATTTTTCCTATAATTTTTTTTCTAACTTTTCTAATAAAATTATCCTCTTACCAAAAATACCCTAAAATTTTCACATTTAGCTCTCTGATTTTCCGATGGTAACAAAACTTCTTCCTTTTTCCTTCAATCTTTTCATCCAAAAAATGACTCCATTTCTTCTGCCGGTGCCTAAAGTTTTGTACTTTGTACTGGGTTAGAAGAAACATGAATTTTTATCCAAAATTCCAACAATCCCATCAGACCGTTTTCACCATTCAAACTTTGCAATAGCTTAGCCTAGCAAAAACATGAATCACATTACACCATGGCCTCTCTGGCATTTCTTTTTCTTTCCCCATTCACAAAAATCCAGAAAGAACCCCATTTATCCCACGTTTTGAGCATTTGTCCTCCCATCAGTACAAAATTCAGCCTACCAAAATAAATTTCCTTCCTTCGGTTTCTATTGTGGCCCATAAGGAGAGGAAAAGAGAGAATGTTGTGAATGGGCAACATTTACGATGACGTATAGACTATGGAAGGTCATGAATGCACATATATTGTATTATAAAATGTGACTGAGAAGAGTCTAATAGACCAAACATTGAGGAGGGAGGGTTTACATGAGGGAGGGAATGCTCCATTACTCATCATGTTTAATTTGCACCCTCAACTACCCTCTCCCCATTAGACATATATGCAACATGTTCTATGCATAGGAGACATTTTATCAGTTTTCCTTGCAAAAAAACAAATTCACTCCATTGATTTCCTCACATTCTCACCCTCTGCTGCACTAAACCATCTTGTCCCAATCCCCACATCTATATATATATATATTGATTATTTTTATTCGAAAAAGAAAAAGCTTTTCAGCTTCTCCCTCACAACACCGCCATGCCATTCAAAAGTATACTAGAATCTTGCTTTCTTGACTTTGGATATCTCTTTCATTCCGTCATGCTTGGAACCCTATTGCTGTTTGATTTCTCCTCTCTAACCCAATTATCAAAGAGACATATATAAGTACCAATAACCTAAATAATCCAATAATAATTTCATTTCACTAAAAACAAGAGGTTTTGAATTTAAGTTACATGGTATGTAAGTGAGATAAATCAAGGGATGAACTGCCTTTTATTTTTTATTTTTAATAGTAGGAATTTGTTAGAGGTAGTGTTAGTATCTGTTAGTAAAGAGACTCGAACTACTAAAAGGGTACAGACTACTTGCTGCTCAAGAGCAGCGTGACCACTTGGGCCACATGGAGATTTGTGCTTTTTATTATGTAACTTAAGATTAAAAAAAAAGAAATCTATAAGCACTTATGTAAATATGAAGTAGTATTTCTTCAAGCATTTAAATAGACAACATCAAATTTTATTTACAGTGCATACAAACTCTAAAAAAAAAAAATGAAAAACTAATAATAACTTCTTTTTTTTTTAACATGATTAATAACGATTCTGGCTTAGTGTTCTTGAATGCTCCTTTCCCATTAAATTAACAGGCTCCCAATCTGATTGATACAAGAACAAGTGGTAATTCCCAAACATCTTCTCCAACCTCACAGCATCACTGTCACCATTCCTGAAGTTGTAAAATATCACTTTGCAAAAACCTCTGATCACAGCAATATCAGCATTGTAGAAAGCTTCGACCCAACATAATGGCTCCTCTCTTTCAAAACCTTCCATATCCATCCCATGCCTTTTACTCCACACTTTCCTCCTGTGGCTGTGCCCCTCTCTGACCCATAGCTCCATATAATGGTCCTTTTTCAAGCAGATCAAACCCATTTTCCCTTCATATTCCACAAGCTCGCAGCATTCAGTTTGGCACAACGGTTTTGGCAAGGAAATCAATTCCCAGCTCTGTTTTTCTACATCAAAGGAAAATATTTTTCTACTATTAGTCTTCCAATGAAGAGCACCAGACACCGATATGGCTGGTTTAAAATCCAACAGCTCATAGAATGGCAAGTTTACATCTTTTGACTGCTTCCATGTCCAGTTTTCTGAATCAAAAATCTCACAGTGAAGATTGTAAGGGGAGGAGTCATGGAACTTGGGATAATAGTTGGATTTCGAGAATCGAACTATCTTGTATCTTAAAGGATTCGATGCAACCACCATAATGCCTATTCTTTCTGTGAAGTAATGAGGGTTGGGATTGGGCAAAACTTGCCATTGTTTTGTTGTAGGCTTGCAGATGTAGTATTCAGTTTGTTGAGGGTATTGGGAGGTACAGAGCAAGATCCCCTGTTTTGCACAAGCTTCGATCTTCACAGGATGGGGTAAAAAATCAAGGTTAATTAGCCTGGAGGCATGAGGGTTGTCCGAGGACACAAACGTGGAGATGTGTTTGTTCCTAACAAAGCTTTGAATGAAAAAACCAGAGACGGTGCCAGTTCTCTGACAATGAAGTTGCATGAATTTGGAGCCGTACGTGAGTTTGTTGCATTCCTTGGAAAGCAGTCTGCCCCTCCCTAAGGTTTGGAGAGATACTCGAGATAAAATCTCGAAAAGTACATCAGAAGAAATATATGAAGACTCCATTGAAACAATATTATTGTGACTCTGGCTAAGTGATTGAGATACTTAATCTGCCCAAAGGTGGAAGTATGTACTTGTATTAGTGAGGAAGTGTCTGCGGTTC